CTGAGGCACTTCCCTCTCTTGCAAAAGCAGAAATTGTGCATTTTTCAGTTGTACATTTTTAGCCTTCCACTTGCCAGCATGGTAGAAATTGAAATAATTGATTTGTTATTTTTATTGGTAGAAAAGAAAAAAATGCTCTGTGGATTATCAGTGATATCAAAAGAAATAAATTCACCAAAATCTAAAATGTCCTATTTTAAATAGCATATATGGCAAAGGTAGAATCTGAGCACAAAATGATGTCACTATGATGCAATTCTGCTGTAGACATGGAGAACGGGATTTTCAGGCCTTGTGCCTTGTGGGAGGGGACGTGGGACTTGAATGAGGCTTGGGCACTCTCAAACCTCATTCCAGCGGCCTCCTGGAGAAGCACATTTATGGGTTCCTCCTGATGGGAGGGCAGGCTCCGTCTGCTGCTGCTTCTTATCCTTCATCCTTGGGCTCAGTAAATAACTGTTTCCTAGAGGTTCCAAAGCTCCAAATATTAAAACTGGTTAAAATGGTTTTCTGTCACATAAGACTTCAAAACTTCGGGTTCTTTATTAATACAAAACCAAGATGCTGTTTATATTTTAATGAAAATGCATAGACACACCAGCATTTTGGGGGTTATTTCCAGATTTTGTCCTGTGTAGACTGGGAATCCTGTCCCATTCTCATCTAAACTGATTGTTTGTGCCCAGCATTCTTATTTCAATTGATCACCTTTTCTCAATATCAATAAAACCTTTCAGTGGAAAATTTTTAAATAGTTTGGTTAAAGATTTGTCTCTGAGGTCTTCTGGGAATGTCCTGATCCTTTGGCTTGGTGACAAGACTAAGATTTTTCTCTGGTAACAAACAGACAGTGACTTACTGGAATAGAGACTGAAGTAAATGAGGGAGTTCAGTCCTAGGAATAGCAGCAAATATGAAGTTATGGATGCAGATCTAGCAGCTGCAAAAGCAAATAAGGGCTTTGGATGCTTGACCAAGGGATTTTATTTAAAACAGACGAGAGAGAATGATTTAATTATCTGACGCCTTGGTTAGCTGCTGTTTGGAAATTGCTCAAGGAGCTGAACAGAGTTAGAATAGGATACTCGTGTTTTAGAAAGACACCACAGAAGATTAATTGGGGCAGGCATGGAAGGGAAAGACTCGGAGAGCTTAGCACGTTTGGCCCCTGAGGTGGCTGAGAAGAGGGCTTATGGTGGTACACAAAAGCCATACTGTGATGAGGATAAATTTTGGCCAGAAGACATTCACTTTATGGAAGGGCAAAATACAAGGTCACAAGCCAACTTATGGAAGGAGAATATCAAATTATGAAAAGGGACATTTCCATCCAGAGACATGAGGCAGCCTGCGCAAACAGGGGTGCTTTTAGCAACAGGGTAAGTTAATGAAAGGAAGACTTGGGAAACCACAGCCTCTAGTTCTGTCTACTGAGGTACAGGAGGTGGGTTAGAAACAAGGTGGAGCTCAGCTCTTTCCACCTCACGATTTCTGTGAAGGGTCTGGCTCAGTCATTTGGCAAGTAGACTGGTGGCTGAGTCAGCAGGTGGTTCATGGCCCTTTCACTTGCTCAGGAGTTGCGTGTTCAGCACAGAGGAGCTAAATGCTTCCTCTTCTGGCTCAGCTCCTTCACAAGATCAGTTGCAATCAAATCAGATGAGTGATTGTCATACACAGGGAAGCAGAGCAGGACAGCAGGAAAAAAATGGTTTAAAATCTGGACTTCATAGAAGGAATAGATAAATGCATTTATTAACAGAGAGTGTACAGGTTGGGTGTATGGATAACTGTAAGTATGTTTACACATCTCTGTGATCCAAGAAGCATAAGCTTAGAGATGATCAAAATGGAAAACACCGAAACAGGTCAAGCAAACCCTAGGAGAAGGTCAGACATTTCCTTCTTTTCAGTTTTTTCCATCTTTTTTAACCAGTCTTAAAGCAATTTGGACAACTGCTGGCGAAAACCAACATCTCTCCTGTATGTAGTGATAAGGCAAGTTTGGTGACTACCATGCACTCTGCAAATGTAGAAAAGAACGATAAGAAGGCAAGTTCTGAATGACATCTATCCAATAGCACCAAAGTACTAATAACTGTTATGACACAAGCAAAATGGAGTCAATATTGTGACATCTGTGCAGGAAGAAAAATAAACTAAAATGACTAGGTTGTCTTAGATCGGAGTATGAAGTATCTGCAGGTGCTTGAGGCATGGACTCAGCTGGGAATTAGACTGAAATAAATAAAATATGGCTTACTTTCTTAGCAAATAAACTACTTTCCCTGTCACTGCTAGTGCTAAGGTACACTGAGATATCACAGTCTAAATCTACCCCAGTGGCATCTTTTATAATACTATTAAAAATTACATTACAGGAAAGTTGCAACACTGGAATTTTTTATCAGAGTAAAAGAGAATGTAACATGAAATGCAATGAATTATACAAATATAATGTAAGGGTAGGAAAGAGTGAAAGGATGAGCAAATTTTCAGATGATTCCTACTCCACAGTTTCAATTTATTTCGTGCAGTTGAAGAGCCTTTTGCTTGCACTCTCAGCTGGCCTTTACAAAACACAGACCTCAAGAAACACACGTCTTTCCACACACTACAAACGCAACTATTGTATTTCGTGATTTTTTTCTACCCGTAACCTATCTTCTTCCTTTGCTGCCTAGCAGAGGTTATAGAGCCAATTTAGTTTTTCTAGTTATGTCTATACCAGTAAATAAAGCAGGGCTAGGGCGTGGGTTCAAGTGTTGTCCTGTGATTATCCACGCTGGGGGATGGTTAGCATGATCCCTGGTACCATTTTGGCTTGGGCCAGCTAGCACTCTCCCACCTATGCCTAAGCATAGCTCAGGCACATGCCAGCAACCATTCCCTGTGGACATTTTGGCTGCAGTCTCCCGGTTTTGGGGTAGAGAAGGAGTTTTGCTGTGCGGATGAGAACCACACACTTTCACTTGGCCTCTGGGCCAGTGAGTGGTCTCAGTACTGATTTATTTAGTAGTATAAAGGTAGTCTATGAGTTAGATTCTGTATTCCTGAATATCTTTCTTCCTCTTCCTGTAAAGGAAGCCCTTTAAGGCTGTAAGGATATGCACTGGCCTCCAATCCTTTCTCACCACGAGTTTGCAATGGATGTCCTCTCTAACCCATCCAGTGCTAGATTGTGACCATATTTAATCCTGTTTGTATTAACAGGAATCTCCAGACACGTAGTTCTCAGCACCTCTTAGCACAGCGTGGGTGAAATGCAAAGCAAACTGTCTTTACATCTTACAAGGGGCCACTAAGGAAACACCATGCTGGAGAGAATCAGCAGTTGCTCTTCATCCCCCTCTGGTTCCAGCCATGACAGCTTTTGGTGCCTGGATGTGAGTAGAAGAAAGGGGAACAGGAAAAAATTATCTCTGCAATGTTATTAGGTCTGTTCATGCACCAATTCCCCACTGCCACCACACTCATACACAGAGGGACAAAATCCCCAGTTACCAGTTAGAGTGTAGCACTCTGCTTTCCAAGGGCAGGAATTATTTCAGTGATATAAGGAAAGTGATATTTCAGTGATATTTATATCACTTAGATAGTGATATAAAACAAAGGAGGAAAACAGCTTTAATATTCCTTGTTTAGGTTTGTGTAGGCAGGGGTTTTGCCTTTCTCTGTATTTTATAGGCACATGAATCAGGCAAATAATAAAACACCACAATGAGTAGAGCAGAAAAAGCCAGATGATAGTCTGGTCTCTTAAAAAAAGGAATGAAATGCCCATCCCTTATAAGATGTCTGTAAAATGGCTAAATAGCCAGAAAACAAGAGATTGTAGAGGAAACAATCGTGCATTGGCTACAGGATAAACAGGCACATGACCACTATTCCATCTCTAACTCCTATTCAAAGATGTAAAATATGTTTTCCATAACATTTGGGTGTATTTAGACAGTGAGCAGCCTGTCTAGTAGTCTCGTTCTTATTGATCTGTGATAATGACACGAACGTGTTTTAATAGCATGAAACCCTTGAGGACCATTTCATCTATTGCACTAATCACTAGAGTTTTGTCTCACAATCCTAAAAGGGCATAAGAAAAGAAATCCTAGTACCCCCTGATTAACTTGACCTGCATTTCTATTGCCTACATAGTCATAGTTTAAGTAGGAGTTTAAGAGGAGGGCAACCCAGTGGCTTAGTTTAGTGGCTCGGTGCGTGTGCTAGAGATAGGATTTCCATTCCTTCTGTCTCGTTTCCTGGCTTGGCAAAGGCAAGGAGTGCTGCATCTCCTGGATGAGTAGAAAAGAGAATATCTCATCTCTCAGCAGTGACCTCTCCAGTTAATGAGGTAGCAGTGCTGAAAGGAATGCTATAGTCTCTACCAAAGCCGCGGTGAGGATGGCTACAGGGAAAGGACCCAAGAAAGTGTAGCAAATGTAAACAGAAGGGACATATGGAGGGTCTTCACTGCTCCAAACAGGAACACAATAATCCTTTTTTCTTCATTAATACTGCAAAGTACTCCACTTCTCAATCCATTTTGCATACCACTTTCTCTTAAAGGAAGGAAATGAAGTTTCACTGCAGGCATAATGTCTATACTTATTTGTCCTTTTTATGTTGTGGGAAAAGGTGTAAATGTATACAGGTAGTTCCTATAAGTTCTGCAGGCAGGAGGGGCTCTTTAATAGCGTGGCAGTCACTTTTTCAACCTCTATCTGCGTGTGTGTGCGTGTCTGCATGTTACGGAGAGAGACACAGAGAGCGAGCGGTGCAGCTGAATTTAGAAAGTTATAGATGTTCTCATCAGCCCCATGCAATGCAGCAGAGATTCCTTCCAAAAGCCAAGGGAGCAGAGGCTGCAGACAACAGATGTGAGCGGGGTTCCCATAACTGTCAATTTTCAAAGTGTTTGCACTGAAAAGAGAGGAGGTGCTATTTTGATTGATATTTCAGTCACAGTATATAAAGCAGAGGAATTTTTCTTGCCCTCTGCTTGTCATACTGATCTGCATACTCTCTCAGCTGGACTTGGGGCTACTACTTACTGCATCTGAAAGGTTGAAGCTCACTGGGAATAAAGAATTCTTGTAACAATGCCGGAACCCACCAAGAAAGATGGTAAGCATAACAAATACTACCTGAACGTTTCTTAATTACAGGAATTATGAGTACGCACACACACAAAACACCTTTTAGACCATCTTGCATATTTCAGCAACAAATAATATCTAAGAGTGATAGCCATGTAACATCATTATATCATTACAGATCACCGATCCTTTCAAACTAAGAAACTACTTTCAGGTAGGGGTATAGCACAAAACTGTTTTGGCCTCCAACTGTTTTAGACAATAAAAAATGGCTTTGCAGAGATATTGAGAAACTACTTGATTGGGCAAATGCTGTATTCACTTTTTAAAGACTGCAGGATTTTTGTAGTGCAATTAGTGGTTTCTCTATAGCAAAGATATCTAGACTCTGGAAAACAGGGAATAAGCATTTCTTATGGTTTAAAAAGTCAGCATGTTGATATTTTTTCATAAAGTTTTATAAGTTATTGAATAGAAAGGATGTGTTAATGAAACAATTTTAAGGTACTGATGAAAATATATTCTATATGTCTAACGCATAAGTGAAGAATGTAGTAAGTTTTTCTGTACACGTCAAACTGGAATGATACATTTTGCCACACTACAGAAATTATTATTTTATGTTTCAGAAGGATAGTTAAAGGCAGTAATACTGGCCCCTTTTGTGGTACTATCAAGTTCATAGCAAAGAAACTGAGTAGAAACTGTAGTCTGCTGGAGAGATACAGAATTGTCCATTGGAGGCTGCCCAAACAGGCGTAAAATGTTCAGGGTCTATTAATTCATAACTTTTTAAAAGCTAGCATTTATTTTTTACTATTTTTAAAATTTAAGCTAAATAAACTTCTTATATTTGCAATACTTCTATAGGCCTTTTTTACTTTTCTTTCAAATGTAGACGTTTTGGTAAGAATTTTTGATGATTATTGTTTAGCATTGACAATATACATAGCTTCTGCAAAGCCATAAATGTGCAAACTGTATATGCTTTGCAAGTGGTACACAGACAGGTTCTCTAATGCATTCCCAAATGCAAAACTGAGTTTAATTTTAAAGCTAATCTTGTGGAAAGTATAGAAGTCATTAAATAGCATTTATTTCCATCAATTCTGAAGGATCTGATAGGCCCATATGTGTAGTTTGAACGAGTACATTTGACTTAACACTCACCTATCAGTAGCATTTGCTTTATTTTAACAGTCTTTTTGAAATATTGTCTGGTTTTGTGGAAGTCAGGAGCAGAGCAACTATCAGGAGCATTAGGCAGTTTCATCACCTTGTTGGGTTGGGGGCATATGAAAACTAAACCTTTTGCATGACCGAGTCTTAAGCAAGTAGTGTTGACAGACCAATGTGATCATTTTACTTACTGGCCCTCCGTAGTGCTCGAGGACAATGATGGATGAAGTATCCTTCTGAAAATAGCTACACCAAGTGCATGTATTAATACGAGAGCCTAATCCTCTATATCAAACCTAGAGCCAAGCCCCTTCTAGAGTGTCTTATTTGTAATTCAAATGATTTACACATGTATTAAGTGTCCTTTTTATTTGATCTGCTATTTGACTGGATATTACACAGTTTAATCAGAATGCATTCTGTGGCTGCCAACTAAAAAAAAACCTTAAAATATTTCTGCACTTTCAAAAGATATGTGCTTTGGAGAAAATTTGTTAGGAGGCTCATGTTTCTAAAGGTTATTATTCTGTTTAAGACTACATTGCTGCAAAGATGTTCTTACAATGCAGTGATTACAAATGCAGCTCCGTGGTTGTGTTACAAAATAAGTTTAGCAACTCTGAACAACATTATATTGACAGTAGAATAAATGTGATTTTTGATGAGTCAATATTAAGGAACATAAAAAATATTGAAGCCTTCTGTCCTGATAGAGCTAGAGTTCACAAGTAGTAATTAGCTTTGGGAAAGTGATACATACATGTTGTACGCTGGTTGTTCCTCATCACACCCAGCTTATTTGCAGCCAGTAGATCAGGGTAATAACAGGTTTATCTTATTGTACTTAAGAGATTAGCTGCTTCCTAAAGATTGTTTGTTGGTCAGGAACTCACCTGAGCTGGTGGCAGGTTTATCTATTGTACTTAAGAGATTAGCTGCTTCCTAAAGATTGTTTGTTGGTCAGGAACTCACCTGAGCTGGTGGCAGTACTTGTATAGTACGTACAAGTACTTGCTATTTTAGTGGCAGGAGTATTCGGTACCAGTAACAGTACAATACCACTGCTACTAATTGCACTAGCTCTACCAGTAAGAATTCAGAACCTCACTTGTCCATCAAATGCCTGTTCTCAAGGTAATTGCCAAGGCATGAAGGATTGAAGGTAATTAATTAATGAAGGTGAACCTTGGACTGACTACATTCTGGAAGGTACCACTGGAAGGACTCTCTGAGAAACCTTTGAGGAACTTGTTGGCAGACTATAATAGAAAGCAGAGAAAAAAAGAGGCTTAAGGCTTCTGCATCACATGGGCACCTAAGCAGTATTCTTCTGACATTTCCAAAAGAAGAAATCTACATGAATGATCCCATACTCATTCTCATAGGTCCTGCCAGTTAAAGACAGCACACACAAGAGCAATCAGCTGAGAAATCAGAAACTGGCTAACACTTGAACGTTAAGAAACTCTCAGCTTTGCATTTTTTGGTCACTGCAGTCCCTGAAGTACATAACTAGATTTTTCAGAGGCAGTGCTGTAGCAAGCTCCCAGGCTTTTTTTCAGGCCAAATGCTCTTTGAGCTATTTTAAGATTATTAGATTACTAAAGTGAGAAATTTCCTGACTTGGTGAGAGTGTAGCCTCACAATGCGCTCTTAACAAATAGGATCACCAAATTAAACACACCGTTCAGCTTAGAGAAGGTTGCTGGAGCACTTCAGCCTGATGGAATTTGTCACTGTAGAAACAGGCTTCCATGACTAATGATTTAAGGCCTTTATTGTACTCCTAAAAAGTCAAAGTCCTATATATTACATCAGCTGTGGCTTCTTTGGAGTATATGGTCATGCCGTTGTAAGACAGTTTTGTCTTAGCCTGTTCAAAATTTCATATTCGCAAGGTGAAGTTTACATCAATGGGTTAACTGATCCCAGTGGATGACTAGGATAGGACTGTGATGCCAAAGACCTTTACCAGTGCATTTAAATTTAACGGCCTTTAGTTTTCCTCGTGACTAATAAAATAACCCTCCCTCATATAATTACTTCCTGTAATTTATTGTAATCACTTGGTCGATCTTTCCTCTCCCCCTTTTCCTTTAACCAATATTCATAATAAGAGCTGCCTGTTAATTAGGTGCCCTCTTAAACTGTCACAGGCCACGGCATTTGGCTATGCTTTTGTAAAAGTGCCAAGTCTCTCAAGAGCAACGATTTCAAACTATTTGTGGGCATCATCCCACAGGGACAGGTGCAAGTCAGTCCCCAGTAGGCAGCTCTGTAAATTTGCCTTATTTATTCTCCCCAATCTAGGAAATAACTCATGGCCACGAGTTAAGCGACCATTCCAAATTTTAAGCCAAAGCATTTATCAACTGTCTGCCAACTTCATTTTCTAAGGGTTTGCAAGCTCTGCTTGAATACTGCCTGGAGCATCCACATATTGGCAAGGAATCAAAATTGAAAATCAGCGTGTCCACTTTAGACAGTGTTTTAGTAAAACTTTTTTCGATCTATAAGGAGCATAGATGTAAAAGTTGTGAAGAAAACTATATGCATATATCATCTGTTAGAAGGACAGTCTCTAAAACATGAAGCAATTTGTGAAAGAAGGTAAACAGACATATCAGTAGAGACTGCTTTGGAGATATGGTTACACTGTTCTCTCTGAAGAAGACCAGTTGAAATGGCCTTTACTTCTATTGGCTTTTAAACATGACCGGTTTTGTTTCATTGCATGTACTTCTATTCTTTTAAACATGACCGGTTTTGTTTCATTGCATGATTCTTCTATAATTATATTTGCATTATTACTATAATATTTAAAACAATATCACAGTCTGGTGTATCAAGATAATAGGCACTGTCAAACAAGTCAACTAGTCATAGAAATCATATAAGTAGACATGTAGAGCAGTATTCCAGTGGGAAATCAATATCAGTATCAAGGTTTGATAAGAGTTAATTAAAGTAAGATTTCTTTTAATATCATATTTTCAAGGCTAGACAATTTTTCAGAGGTGAAAAAGAAGTTAAATGGAAATTCTGCTTCGGTATATGGATTTGGCTTGTGTCAAAATTAACACTGCTGATGGAAAGTTTTCCTGAAAATTCAAGAACCCAGCATGTGAACATTGTATAACATTGCTTAGTGCTTTCCATGCAGAAGACTGGACCTGTATAATCATTTTATTATGGCACCAAACTGGGTTGTGCAGCTGCTGCCGTCCTTGCTGCATAGATACATGCTTCAGTGAGGCAAAAGCATACAGACATCCGTCTTCTGCCATCATCATTGCCCCTCTGCAGGACTGACTGTAAAATGCATTCCCATTATTTCTTACTACCTTCAGTCTTGGAGCCAAATCACACTCAAAGTCAGGCCCGTATATATCATTTACAAGCACTGTATTAAACTCCTAGGTAAATGAGTTTTGGTGGATGAGGGAAGGAGGAAACCCTAACCCCTTATCTTATTTTCCCTCTCAATTCTTTAGAAAGTTTCTCTTCATCACCTCTGGCTAATAAATTTAAAGCCCTCACAAACGGAAAGCAAACTTACGCCTAACTGTTGTAATTAGATCCGTTAGGACGGGCCCTGCTCCCGTCCTGAGCCCTATAGAGCAGTGTCCTCCTGCACAGATCTTGTTGCACGCCGGGAATCGAGTTGTTCTTAGAGTGTCTTTGCCCTCCCATTGCTAATTTCTAAGTGTTGCTCCCACACTTCCTTCTGAGATACCACAGCATCTCAGATTTATTCTTTGACCTTCCGCCTCCTCTGCTCCTAAGTTTAAAACTACTTTTCCGATCAGATTAACTTGATTGAAAAAACCCTACACTGGCAAAGAAAAA